TTTCTGTTCCTTCTAGGCCAGGCCCAATAGCTCATACCTACAACCCCAGCAATTTGGGAGGCCAAAGGAGGAGGATCACTTGAGGACAAACATGGTGGAACCCCATCTCTACTACAAATACAAAAACTAGCAGGGAGCGGTGGCACATGCCTGTAATCCCAGCTTCGTGGGAGGATGAGGCAGAATTGCTTGAACCCAGAAGGTAGAGGTTGCAGTGAGCCAAGATCTCACCACTGCACTCCAGCCTGGGCAACAGAGCGAGACCGTCTCAAAACACTAAAATAAAATAAGGTTCTGTACCTTCTGCACAATAGGTATGCCTGAGTCTATGATATGATATGTCCAGCACTCAGGTGGAGCTCAAAAATAAGTATTTTGAACTTGAAGTCAAACTATTTCACCAGTCAACCACCCTCTTCCCCAACCAAATGATTACCTAGCTCCCATTTTCTAAGTGCTCACCATGTGCCACATATTAAGTTAAACAATATGCATAATCTCATGCAGACGTTAGTTTTGAAGAAAGATAACCGAGGCTGGGTATGTAGATGATGCCTCAAAAAGTCACACAAAGGATACAGTCCCCCAGAGACACGTGGTCCTTAAAAATCGTGTACCTAAGGAAAAGAAACCTTTAAGAGATAAGGCCAAAGAGGCTCTTCAGCCTGGAGGCTGAGGGTAGCCGAGTGTAAGTAAAGAGCTGCCTGCAGCGCTCCCACAACCAAAACCTTCAGGCCTCGACGGTCCACCCCGTGGCTCTACCACTGCACTCACCACTTCTTCAGGACAATCTTGTTCCAACGGGTGCCAGTTTGGGCTGCAATCAGCTTCTTAAGGTCCCCAATGGTATCATCCGTGCTGGGCGCAGAGGAGTTAAGGCAAATGGGAGGGGTGGAACAAGGAAGGGGGCATTCTGGGGCTGAATACTATCTGCCAGAACCCCATCCCCCCTTCTCCCCCTTTTTTGTTTCTTTTTTTTTTTGAGACAGAGTCTCCCTCTGTCGCCAGATTGGAATGCAGTGGCACGATCTCGGCTCACTGCAAACTCCGCCTCCCGGGTTCAAGCGATTTTCCTGTCTCAGCCTCCCAAGTAGCTGGGACTACAGGCGTCC